GAAGTCTTTTGTTGCAGAGAAGTTTCAATCATCCGTTTTTCATAAGTCTTTAAATTTGATATTTTCTGCTTGTTTGTATTCTTTGAACATGAACATGCATGTCGAAAGGCGAATTTGATGATATCACACAATATTTTTTGTTTGTCTTTAAATGTTAAGAAAAATAACTCTCTCTTTTTAGAAAATTTGAATTTTAACTAAAGAAAAATATGAATGTTAATTAAATACCTTAAATGGTTGGGAAAATAAATTATTAACTTTTGCAACTATTGATCTTTCAAGTTGTCTACCATATGCAGTTAAGGTGCAAGAAAATGCCTATCAACTAATATGATACATATTTGAGCTACCAAATTCCCTCAATTCGAGTGTAGTTTTGAACAGGCGGCAACACCGTTATAAGTAGTTTAGAAATAAACCCTTTTCAAAACCTATTCGATTCTCATACCCATATCGCAATAATTAATTTAAGTTATTAAATAATTTGAATTAAATGTTGCCACCTGGCAACTCTCTTTAAGATATTCTCAAACAACAAGTTATTAAACCTCTTTCGCCTGACAAGCGTACTGTAATACATACGTATGTCAATTATGCCACTCAAGTCTAAGTTGATATTTTAAACAGGTGGCAACCCTCCTACATGTAGTTTAGAAATAAAGCCTTTTCAAATCCATATTGGTTGATGCCAATGGGTAATTATTTATTTAATTGAATTAAATTTTTTAATAGGTGGCAACCCTTTTTGTGTTCTTACCTAGATACATATTTTAGAACCTTTTATTGATTGTTTCTTACAAATGTGGTTTCAGACAAGTCAGGCCAGCGTGCAAAAGGACGCTAAGCGAAAAAGGTCGCTTTAATCGATTTCAAAGACAGCTGCTTATAAGACGCCACGTCGAAACTTGAAATCTTTACAACGCTGTGCAAATATTTTCCGGTCATCTCTCAAGAAGGATATCGACAGAATGCCATACAAGGTCTTATTTTTAAATTAGTTTAGTTTTGGTTTTCACTCCGACTTTTCTTGAGTGTTGAAAATCATGCCTATCTAACAGACTTTGTGCGACATGTGGTGTTCCTCAAAGTGGCATATTGCAGCACTCGCTATTTATCATATTTTATGAATTATATCGGGTTTCGCTTCCGTCATCTTCTATAAGCAGATCACCTCGAGCTACAGATACTCTGATATTAAAAACTTTAATGACTACAGTGTTCTTCAAGCGAAACTTGATTGACTTTATTCTTGGTGTATGCGGACTCACCTGTTCCTCCAAATCTCTGCCTACTTGAACACGAAACTGATTTTCTCCACTTCTACTTATTCTTCTTTCAAATGGAGACCGTACCATTTTTCATATCGATCGCCGCAAGCTACTTTATGTCATCGATCGATATTGATCAGTGCGCTTTTCATGGCATTTTTAAGACGTTTTTGAGGTTAGGTTTGTATGGGAGCTATGGTTTAGAATACATCGATCACGCAAATTTCGTGTTTTTCTTGATTTATGTCCATAAAAAATGTTGCATACGGAAAATTTTGGTTCTACGCCGACTACCTCTAATTTTTACCGAAAATTGTCTGGAGCTGTACCACTGTGCGGTGTATAGGTAAGTCTTTTTCGTGCGGCTTTGGAGACGATAAATAGATGGTTTGCATTTTTTGGCCAAATACCAAGGATTTGCCTAAATATTTGCTTGTGGGCTCTTTATAAGAGTCGCTGTTTTCAATCAAATCAAGGCACCTAAATAAGCTCGACGCTTGGCAACTAACTAACTAAATAATAAAATACAGACGAACCATGTTATGTAGAATGCCTTTGAGTCTTCTACTCTGGCTGCGAAGCTCCACTCATTAAATTCGCATGCAAATGCTGCGCCTCCTCTTCTTGATGCTCTCTTGCTGCTACCACATTGCAGCACTTGCCCCACCTCTTTTGCGGCACGGCAAAGCAAACAAACTTCGCGCGCCGTTTATTTCCTCATTTTGCTTTTGTGTGTAGGTTCCTTTCAAAGCCACGACAGCTGCATACTCCAATGAAAAGTATTTTAATATTTTTTAGTATTTTTTTTTTCTCGAATTTAGCCGTTGGTGTTTTGTAGGTCAAGGTTACTGTATGCTTTCGCTGTACTTACGCACGCACGCTGATGGATTTCTTTTGAAGCGCACCCATTGCAGCTACTGTTTTGAATTACTTGTGTCAGTTGATGACGATTTGTCGGGCTGGCTGTCAACGATTGTTATGCACTATTTCGTATTTGTTGCTATGCTATGGCTGCAAGTTCTATGTAGCTGCTGTGCGAGCTACATAGTACGTTGCTGTTGTTGACATTGATTACAAGTGATGGCATTTTATGGCGTTCCCATTTGCTGACGTCGTAAAGAGCTCGTAACAGATTCTTGTTTTTTTTTGCTCTTCTCACTGATTTTACAACGCTTTTTTTTTGTAGTGATGCAGCTTACTTACTTTTCGTCTGCCCCCACTCCTTTCGTTTCCTTTTCACTTTCGCATTTCGCTTGAGGCTCTTAAATTGAATTTAATGTTACATTTATCATAATTGTGTGACAACTTCGCTTGTGATGGCGACAGTATAATTTGCCCCAAAAAACCCTTCTGCGTGGGCGGGGCAGACTGTGTCGCTTGCTGTGCAGCGTGGTCGGCACGAATGCATTTCTTAACGTTCGGGATTTTCATGTCACGTAGGCGACAGAATTTTCACTTTTTTTCCAGAAAGTAGTAATTTTTCGTTTTCTTTCTTTTCTTTAAAGGAAGGTGGCCATGGTATGTTCAATTTTTAGTGTGTTTGTTGCTTTGGCGCAAATGCGAATTTGATTATGCTAAAAAAAATTTGCATTTTTTTGAGACTTATTTTCCACGCTTATGTGCATTGTGGATTGCAAAGAGCTTTGAAGTGTAGCACGTTTTAGACATCATTAATTTTAGATAAATATGAAAATCTCCAAAAACTTTGCTAACAGACTCCTTTGATGCGCTGTTAATGGCGACAATGGCAGCAACTGCTGCTCGTGGAACTTATGCAAGAGATAATTCCGTTATTCCATTGCAAATATAAACTCTAAGAAAAAACATGTGCCGCCATATACTTTGTCATTGCCAAAAAGTTGTGGACATGAAGCAAAAAACGATGTACCAAAAATTGTATCTTCATTTTTGAACTAAATTTGTCTTCAGTTATTAAAAAAAATAGTTCCAAAAAAATGAGGAGCTGGAGGACTGTTATATTCATTGGAAGGCACATGCAGTTCTCGTAAGGCAGCTATGAAAAAATTGTCCAAAAACATTTGGACCTAGGTTGAGCGGGTTGGGATTGATTTCATTTGGCGAATGCAAAACTCAATTCAAATTGTTGTAATAAATCTTTAAAATTCTATTTCCATTGAAATTTGAAGGTCTAATAATTTTGCATTTAATTTAATTCGACTGTTTTTTTTTGTTTTTATTTTTGTGCTGGTAGCACTACGCGTGCGGACATACGACACTTACCTAGCGAGAGCTTCTCACCAGAATCGGGGGGCAGTGTGAAGCCTAGCAGTGCCATTGAGGCTATCAGTACGCACGGCACAATTAGGTTAAAAAAATAGTACAAAGTTTTCCGTCGTATTAAAATGGCGAACGTTATGTCAATATAAGGTTCTGGGCAGCAATTATAGTAGATTTCATTTCGTTTACCGGGCACGCCTGCAAAGAGAATGGACGTGAAATACGTTCGACGGTGAGAATGCAAAGAGAAAGAGAGGATTGTTTTTAATTATTAGTAGTTGTTTTTTTTTGTTTTGGAGAGAGGGAAAGAGAGAAAGAGAAAGTGGCGCATTAGATAGCAGCAGTAAGATATTAGTTTAAAATACATATGTATGTATATAATGAATATATGTATGTATATATATGCATATAAATGTTTATAAGTAATTGCTAGTGAAATTTTGTTGGCTGTTTTGTTGGTTTTTTTTGGTGAGGCTTTGTTATTAATACACAATTTATTTACAAAAGAATAAATTATAACCATTTTTCGATTTATAAGCTGTGAGTTAGTTAGTATGTTATTAGTTAAATATTTTTAGAATTTGCGGAATTTAAATTTGCTAGAAAACTTTTTATGAAATGCCTTTCTTTTATTTTCAAGCCACCGCCGCCATACCTAGCAGATCCCATTCGCCGTTCGTTATGAAACTTGAAATGTCACCACCGGCCTCGTCTTGCAGCTGCAAGTCCAGCTGGAAAGAGAAAGAAATTTAATTGGTTATGATAAATTTGTTGAGAATTAAAAAAAAAAAAAATAAAAGTAAAATAAACAAAAAGTAAACAAAAAAAATACAATAAAATAAAATAAAATAAAAATAAATAAAATAAAAAAAATAAATAAAAAAATGAAAAAAATAAAAAAAATGTAAAAAAAAATAAAACAAAAAAAATAAAAAAAAAATAAAAAATTAAATCAAATAATACAAAAAAAAAAAACAAATTAAGATAAACAACATAAAATAAATAAAAAGAAAAATAAAACAAAAAAGATAATTAGGACTTCAAAATTTCGATTTTTGGAGTTTTTGTTGTAGTATTAGCCATAAAAAATTTTCCAAGATTTTTTTTGTACCAGCCTCCAATTCAAATTACTTTAAAAGTTTATAGATTTTCTGAGGTAAACCGTAAGTCAAAATGCATCAATTGAGAAAAAATCAAATTCTGATCTTCGAATTACTCGAATAAATTGACGGATCGAATCGACAAAAAATCGAATCGGAAGGGCTCGTCTAATCGATCTTCGATTAAATCGATTTAAAAACGGCATCCCTAATACGAACCCCTCTCTAAGTCGGAGATGTCAGTTAATAAAGTTATGGCAACAGTTTTCTAGCATATCGAAGAAGTCATCTTCGCAGACTTCTTTGGGAAAAATAAGACAATCGCACATACTTACATATTTAGCAAGTAAATTTTGAATAAAAAAAAAACAACCGACATTAATGCTCATAAAAAGTTCAGAAGTACCGTTAATTTCTTATGATCCAATTATCGGAACTAAACCAAATTAGTATGGAATACGCTACCTAAAGGTGAAAAGGTGCCAAGTGCATTTTTTTTCAAAATTTAGTTTTTAGCGCAGAATGACAGATAATGCGAAATTGCATTGTACATCGATTTTTCGTCTCTCCTGAACAATTTCCAAAAAGTGAGGTTCTGGAGAGGTGGCAGCACCGTATGCAAAATGGTCTCGAAACGGTGTTGAAAAATAAAGTTTCATAAACTTATTTACGTACATATTTCGTGCCTGACTGACACGTAGTTTAACACCCAAAACCCCCCGCTGGATCCGCCACTGATTTGCATACATGCCTTTGTTTAAGAACTTGTTTCAAGAATTCAAGGATTTACACTTTTCATTTTCTACTCACTGCTTTCTTTACAATTAAGCGACTATTCGAGTGATTTAATTAGCTTGGCAGTATTTTGGCATTTCACAATTCCATTAGCCTTATTTTATTTACTTGCCACGAAATTTTATGCCAACAAAGTGAAAGGAATTTTCTATTTTATTTACATATACAATTAAAATGTAGAACAGCATGAAAGTCGACGAAGGGAATTCAGATAGAAATTCTAAAGAATTTTACTGCTGCCATCGTACAATTGTTTCACCACGGCCAATGTCATTCGAAATTCGCCACTCAGCAGCAAGTTTCTTGCAGTTTTTGATAGTTTTGCATTGGATTGAAATGTGCGCAGGGTTTTCGAAAGTTTCGTTTGGGAACAGGCACTTTTTATGTAGTTTCTTAGGTATTCTTGACTAGGCTGTTTACAAGTTAAGAACTCCTTATCGCTGAAAAATCTGAATTTATTTCGGAAAATTTACGCATTTGTGACGTTAAACAGTTACTATTTCAGTTAATATTTTCTAGGCTTTAACAAGTATTTTTAGTTAGTGCTATGACTCAAAATGTTCTCAAAAATCTGTACTACATTTTGCATCGCTAATTTTAATTTATATTATTTGATGTTATTTCATTTCATATTTGGGCATTTTTTCTTCATACATAGCTGTAGTGTATCTGTAACACAAAAGTGGCATTGCTACAATATTCCTTTCTGCGAATACTACTATGCCTTTTCATATTCATTCTTGCGGCGCTCCCAAAGGAATGTGAATGCAGCCACGTTTTAGTTAACTAATAAACGCAAAGGCTTTTCAGAATTGTTGCTACATACATACACACATGCATACATTGTGCATTTACTCTTGCAAACTGACGACTGATGACTGACTAGTTTTGCCTTTTGGCTGACAGATTGCTGTCGTCGTCGCTGCGTTTTGTTTGCCAGTTGCTTTGTTGCTAGTTTAGTTAGTTTGCTTACAAGGCCGCTGATGGCTGTAGGAAAAACGTGCAAGGTGGGCGCCGTTGGTGGAAAGTGAGAGCGGGTTGTTGTTGCGCGCAGCGTAGGGAGTTAGTGTAAAAGTGCAAGTAGGCATGGACGCAACAACAACTGCGATTTAGTATTGTTTCCTACGAGTAATTGCTAATGTTTTACTTATTGTTGTTTTTGCTGTTACATGTACTATTTGCTTGCAGTTTTTTTTTATTATTGCCATTTTATGCTGCTTGTAATTTTGGTTTTCAGCCTGGCTATTTGCAAGGCTACATGCATACACTGCCGCAACAAAGTATTGGCACAGCAAATTTTTCACAATATATGCAACAATTTTTATTCTAATATTTTTCCGCTAATTTTGTATAAAAACATGGTTCATTCAACAAAAGAAAAACATAAAAATATAATTTCTAACCTTTGTGCAAAACTCGCGAAAATTCAGAAAATTTTCATCAAAATCGTCAACTTTTTAATCAGATATTTTAGATTTTTTTTGAGTATGCAGTTTTGCAGCCCATTAAATTCTAGTTAAAAATGCAAGTTCGGAGTTAGTCAAAAATCGCGTTGATTTTTGAGATTTTTTTTAAGGTGTTTTGCATTTTTTCCATATAAAGTATTTTCGAAAAAAATTTTTTTTTGGTAAAAATCAACGGTAATTCTTAGCTACTTAAAACTTGCACTTTATTATAATAAAATTGATTGGGCTACAAATCTGCATACTCAAAAAAAATCTAGAAAAATTTGATTAAATAGTTGAAAATTTTCATGAAAATTTGCTGAATTTTTGCGAGTTTTTCACAAAGTTTAGGAATTATATTTTTATGTTTTTTGTTGTAGAATGAACCATATTTTTATACAAAATCAGCGGAAAATTATTAGAATGAAAATTGTTATATATACATACCGTGAAAAATTTGCTGTGCCAATACTTTGTTCCGGCAGTGTATGTGTTTGGGAGAAACTATATGTATGTAGTTCGGCATTGAAAAGATGAACCCATTCTACTTATGTAAATACATACGAACATATTTACCTTCGTATTAAATTGTAAATAAAAAGTTGTGTATTTTTCTTTTAACGAAAAGTAAATAAAAGTTTGTAGAGCCGCAGTGTCTTCGGAAGCTATGAATGTAAAAGTTAATTTACATTTCTTTTTTTTAATTTTTGAGTAAAATATCTGTGAAATTTTATTAAAACAATTTAACTGACTTTAGAAAGTTTGACTTTGTGTTAAAAAATAGTAAGTTACCTTGACAAGTTTTATATATATTTATTAAGCGTCTCTTGAAATACTATGATGGCTACGGATAGTTAAAATATTGTTTGAGAACTCACTGGAATATTGCTTTGAAGGGAAAATGGCAAATCTCGAGATAAGTTGTTTTAATGAAATACCACACATATTCATTCATACATATATGTATGTATTAAAGGCACATTTATAAACAATTACTTTTGTTGAGATCTAAATATAGTTAGAATAAAGCTAGTCAGAGAAGGTGGCAACAATTATGTAAGCAAGTCAGAAAAATCGGTTAACGGTACTCAGAGATTGCATGAGCCATGTAGAGGAAATTAGATTAACGAAAAATTGAAGAATTCGTTTTGGTTTAAATTAAAAGTTCACAACAAAGCCTACTGCAAATTTTGTTTGCTAATTTCCATGACCAAAAATTATTCCAAAAACTTTTTCAGCTTGACACCATCCATTTCATTAGAAATGCCAACTTTTCTGTTGCCAACTACTTCAAACTTATTTAGGCGTACGGAATGGGCTGGCAATTGAAGAGTGGCGCATAAATAAAGGAAAACATAAGAAGGAACCCTGTCGGAAATGAGATTGGACGGCAGAAAAGGGGAGTTCAAGCTTGTTGTTTTTATTTAAGAGCAAACTATTGAGAAAATTCTATATATTACACCGGTTTATAGAAAAAATTTTTTGTACGCCACTATCCAATTCCTATTTATGTAAAAATGCTCGTTGATTCCTGAAAATCGAGTTAATTTTTTTGAAATGCTTTCGTTGTCGAGATGTTTGCAATTTACCGTTACTCAGCCTAAAAAAAGTAGTTAATTTGAAATTTGGAAAATGGAGTTTTCCATAAAATGAAGTAATCAATCATTCCAGATTTTTTGATTTTTTGTTGAATAAATGAAAAAAAAATTCAAACTTTAACAGGGTACAAATTAAAAGCATAACATATTTTGTGTAAATTTTTTGCATTTGTATTAAAGAATGTACCGTTACAATAAAAATTAAGCTACTAATGAAGAAAATCTACGGACAATTAAAAGAGGAATTAGTGCTCAAGTGAAAATGAGCAAAAATTTTTTAGCCATCATCGATTCGCCAACAGTTAGCAAGTGGCGAAACGAACGAACTCAATAAGGTACACCCAAACTCGTTATCGTCTATCCGTGCTAGCTAACTTTGTTGTTGTTTTCACATGCAAAATTTTTCGTCAAGCGACAGTAACTCAAACATAGGAAGTAGGGAAGTGGTGAATCGATGACGACGGCTTTTGTATGAAAAATGAGCAGGAAAGAATGTTACTCATACGCCATGTACACCTGAGAAACACTCATTCTTATTTACCCATCTATTTTCTTCATCGCTACCCAATTTTTTTTTTTTAAGGAATAGACTTTCATATAAAATAAAAAAATTGACAAAAAAAATATTCCTCAGTTAAATTTTGAATTTTTTTCAGTTTTTCATAAAAAAAAAAGAATCGGAAATGATTAACTAATTTCTCAGATACTATCAGGGCTATCGAAAAGTGATGTGTGTACGTTTTATGGACAATTTCATTAGCTTTCATTTTCATATTAAAATTGTTAAACTGGT